TGCCCTTTAAGAAGAGGAACGGGGATAATTTGGGAAACTACAAGCCAGTGAGCCTAATATCAGTGGTAAAGAAATTATTGGAGAAGATTCTAAGGGATAGGAGTCGCTCAAATTTTGAAAACTATGGATTTATTAGCGATAGGAGGCATGGTTTGTGCAAGGAAGGTCATGTTTCAAACTTGATTGAGTTTTTTTGAGGAATAATTTGATTTCTCTTCTTTGTAGTTGCTCTATCTCATTACATCTCTGCCTGAATAGCAATTTGACCTTCTGCTCTGTAACTGTCCCCTACCTCTACATATCTTTTGGAAGCTTTTTTAAATTAATTGACAGGATGTGGAAATCACTGGCTAGGCCAGTATTCATTGCATGTCCCTAATTAGCCTTGAGGAGGCAGTGGTAAGCTGTATTCTTGAACTGCTGCATACATCAACAGTGCTGTTAGAGAGAGAGTTCCAAGATACTGACACAGCAACTATGAAGGAACAGTGATATACTTCCAATCAGGATGGTCTGAGACTGGGACTGGAACTTACACATGATATTTCTACGTATCTGTTGCCCTTACCCTTCTAGATAATAGAGGTTGTAGGTTTGGAAGATAGTGTTGAATGAGCCTTGGTAGTCGTTGTAGTGTTTCTTATGTATACTGTATGCCACCGTGTGTCGATGGTGTAGGGAGTGAATGTTAAAAGTGTTAGATGGGGTGCCAGTCAAACAGCTGCTTTGATATTGAGTGTTGTTGAAGCTGATGTTATCCTGGCAAGTAGAGACACCCGACTCGTGCCTTGTCGATGATGGCCATATTTTGAGGAGTCAGGAGGTGAGTTACTTGCTGCAGAATTCCTAGTCTCTGGGGACTTGTAGCCATCGTATTATATGACTGGTCCACTTCAGTTTCTGGCAACTAGTAAGGAAGTTACCAGGGAGTTACCCATGGAGTTGATAGTCAGTGTATCAGCTATGGAAATGCCATTTAAAAAGTCAAGTTGTTTGGATTCTGTCTTGTTGGAGATAGTCATTACATGGCACTTCTGTGGTGCAAATATCACTTGCCACTTAACAGCCCAAGCCAGAATATTGTCCAGGTCTTGACTGGTGACGTATTACTTTACAGATGTAGCATGCTTTCTAATAGATGGACAGTGCTTAAGCCTGTTAAGAGCTGACACTGACTTTTTGAATCTGCTAATTTTTCTGTAAGGCTTCTCAAATACGTCTTTAGGGTTTTATACCGTACGATTAAGTGGATTCTTTTGCTGTCCTTTGATCATGTTGACTTTTTTTTCTTAGGACTCCTTTATAGTTTGTTTCTGATTCCTGTTTCTAGCACTATCTGATTTTTTTTCCATAGTCAAACCTATTTTGAACAATAATCAATCTGACAGACTCTTTAACAATTTCAGCACAAGTTGTAACTCTTATGAATTCTAATTCTAAAGCTCCATAGTCACATTTCTCAACCAAAATGTAGAGGTCATTTTAAAATGAAAATCTATGGATTCCCCTGGATGATGGACTCTTTGGTTAGATTTTCCTCTGTCAAGAATAGTTCTAAATTAAAATAATGGTCAAAAGCTTATAGAGCAACTTGAAAAGTATTTGTGCCTTCTTTGTTGCCACAGTATGTAACATCATCAGATATAGTGCCAATTGAATACAGAATGTGGTTACTTGTTCAGCTTATGATTTAGTGTCTTATTGGAAGCAACCATAGATCTTAATTACTGTTATCACCAAGATGTCAAATTCTATGTTCCGTTGGCTCATCGCTCAAATTAATTGTTCCATGTAATGTTATTTCTACTAATCTAATATGATTATTCATCCTCTATGTTTTACAGCCTTTTAATTCTGCCATAAAGCAACATTATTTTTCTGTACTGCTGTATTGGAGGGTTTTTCTACCCTTTTACAGTTAAAATGGAGGATGTCTGCCTTCTGCAGCCAAAAACAATTCCCATCCACTTTGGCATCTTTACCAAACAAATGTGCCTGCCTGTGACTTCAAAACTAACTGTATTCTCTTGTTGGTTTTCCCGAGACAATTCACACACTACTTCGCTGCCAATAATCCCTATTACCTTGTAGTTTTATAAACGATTCTGATTCTCTTTAATAGCTTCACTGAGTGAATCCTGCTCTCTGTAGTTTTAAAGCTGTATCCTGTTCTCATTGAGGTGGGAGGGGTGGATAGATGGGAGAGAAGATGGACAAGTTGTGTCAGGTCAAGGAGGCAGGGTTGAGAGGGACTGTTGGTCATGGGATGAGGCCGGGGGATGGGGAGACTTTGAAACTGATAAAATCCACATTGAGACCATTGGGTTGTAGGCTTCCAAGGCGGAATATGAATTGCTGCTCTTCCCGTTTGCAGGTGGCATCATTGTTACTCTGGAGGAGGCCCAGGATGGACATGTCACCCAGGGACTGGGAGGGGGAGTTAAAATGGTTGCGATCGGAAGGTGTTGTCATTTGTTGCGAACAGAGTGCAGGTGCTTTACAAAATGGTCTCCAAGCCTTCGCTTGGTCTCACCAATATAGAGGAGGCCACATTGGGAGCAGCTCCTGCAACCTGTCCATCTTCTTTCTCACCTATCGGCCCCTCCTACCTCACTGACCAATCCCCACTACTCCCTACCTGCACTCACTTATCACCATCCCACCTACTTTCCCCAGCCCCACCCATTCTATTTATTTCTGAGCTCCCTTTCCCCTCCCCATTTCTGAAGAAGTGTCCCAACCCAAAACGTCAACTTTCCTGCTCCTCTGATGCTGCCTGGTCTGCTGTGTTCCTCCAGCTGTGTTATCTCTGACTCCAGCATCTGCAGTTCTTACTATCTGTCCTGTTCTCATTATTGGTTTTGCTCAAAGAATCCTGCCTACAACCTTAATAAGTTCTTCCTCCTTTATTATAACTTTAACTATGGATTTCCGTTCTTACTGTGACTTCAATTGTTCTCTTACTTTTTCCTTCCATTAGACTTTCTCTGCTTAGGCTTTTAAATTGCCCCCCTTTATCACTTTCATTCTGGATATGTGATGCACCTCATTTTTAAATTACAGCTGTGGCTTTTGATTTCCCTTGCTGTTGTTGTACCTCATTGTGCCTAGTCACTGTGGTAGTGATGGTCTGTCTGAGGATTTTGCTTGCTTCTTGCTTTCTCAGCTTGTAACTAGGTTGTGTTTTTCCCCTATCGGCCAGAGCTTTCAATTCTATTCACGCAACCTCCAATTTCTTGTTTTTTTTTGGCTGAACCTCATTTTGGGACTACATCTACGGTTCACCAGCACTGAATGCAGTCTGTAATTACCAGGTGTAATTATTGTTCCAGCTCCCAGTTCCTCTGCACTTCTTAGCAGTTCTGAAATGCTGTCAATATTGACTGCAGTTCCTGCTTTGAACCTTGCCACAAATCACTGTCCTGCAGGTCTGTCAACTGTTCAGTTCAGTCATTTGCTGCATGATTGTCTGCACAAGTTACGCTCTTAATGTTGTGCCTGAGAAAAATTCTTCTGGATTTGCTTGACTTCACACTGATATCTTACATGGCGTTGCTGCAGTTAAATCACATTATAATCTGTACTGCTCATCAGTTGTTGTAAGATGAAAACTCACCACATTATCTGAGAAAGTTGCTTGATCACCATGTGGCAGATCACAATGCCTCTTCTTCCTCAGGCAGCTCAAGAAATTTGGCATGCCCATAAGGACCCTCACCAATTTCTACAGATGTACCATTGAAAGCCTACTGTCCAGGTACATAATGGCAACTGCTCTGCCCAGGACCATAAGAAACTACAGAAGGTGGTCTGGGCTGTGCACACCATCATGGAAGCCAGCCTTCCATCCCTGGACTCTATTTACATGGCTCACTGCCACAGAAAGGCTGCCAACATCATCAAAGACCCCTCGCACCATGGTAATGATCTCCTGCAACCTCTTCCATCAGGCAGAAGATACAGAAGCCTGAACACATGTACCAGCTGGTTCAGGAACAGCTTCTTTCCTGCCGTTATTAGATTGATGAATGGACTCTCTGGCCTCAAATAATGCTGATCTTCCTAACGTAGATCTTACCTGGCACACGCCCTGTGCAATGTAACCTGTACGCCTCTATGTCTTTTTGATCTGTACATCCTTGCTTACTATGATCTGCCTGTATTGCTCATAAACAAAGCTTTTCACTGTACTTCAGTACACATGACAATTAATCAATCTCTAAAGTTGGGATCTACAGATCCTGCTTCATATAGTTTGGTAGAAGAAACCTATGAGATAGTCTAACAAGAAGAGGTTTTTGTCTTACACAGGATGTAACTTACTACATAATAGCAATCGGGTATTGGTTATAAGTCAAGATAGACATTGTTACATGAGGGAGATCCAGGTGGTATATCTGTCTCCTTTAAAATACAGAGCTGTTCTCCCCACCTGAATCCTATGACAACATCATATTTGATGGAACTTAGTGCATTCCCCAGTGTTAACACTTTCAGAACCAAACACTTTACACAGTGCTCACAACCTTTGTGCTAAATAATGCTATTCACTATTCCACTTCTGAGATTTCCTGGTACTGACTTCAAACTTCATATGAAGTCAAATATATAAAATACTTTAATATTATTGCAATCACTACTACAGTTTTTAAATTGTAGAACTGATTCAAAGTTAAAATTGCTGCAAACATTCAGTAACTTGTCAGTGTTTATGAAAAGAACATACATGTAGACATTCAATTGAAACCCTTCAATTGCAGCCTGACTTTTAAAGAAATATTATTATAAGGCTAATTGTAGTCTTAATTTTCTAATATTCACACACTTAATGCTGAAGAGCATAGGTAGGCGTCAGAACGAGGAGAAAAACATCTCTCCAAATTGATCAAGTTGAAGAGACTGTAAAGTGACCTAAAGATCTGATATACATTAAGAATTTTTATAACTAATCAATTAAAATTTTAGTCTGTATTTTGAGAGGTAATTTTATTTTGATGCAGGTGGATCTTTGCAACTATTGCGTAATCAATGGTGCAACTGCTCATCCTCACATCGAACATGATGGAACTGTCTACAATATTGGCAATTGCTTTGGGAAAAGGTTTTCTTTTGCGTATAATATTATCAAAATACCTCCGCTGCAGTCAGGTACATGTATATATACTTAAAATTATTCCAGCTATAGAGATTAATCAAAATCTTCGTGTGGGGAGGATTGATGAAATCATGTAAACTAATGACTTTTCATTGCAGTCATTGCACTTTTATTTTACAGCAGTGATATTTGATACTTGTTTCCAGCATTCAGAAGGATACCACATCTTTTAGACTGTTTATATAACTAGAACAACTAGTATAACTTATATAATTAGTCAGAATAGAAACCGAAATAACTTCGGATGCTGTGAATCAGGAACAAAAACAAAGTTGCTGTAAAAACTCAGCAGGTCTGGCAGCATCTATGAAGGAAAAAACAGAGTTAATGTTTCGGGTCTGGTGACCCTTATAATTAGTCCCTCAATAGACAAATGATCATAAGCAATGTCCACATCCCATGAGAGAATTTTAAAATATTGCTGCAAATGAAACAAAATAATTCATCAAAAAACTTTGATTAAAAAAAACTTTTAGTTTTATATTAACCAGTTCAGATGTGCTACAAAACACCTCTGGAGTGGTTGGGACTTTAACTCAGGTCTTTTAGCCCTCAGGTAGGAACATTACCACTGCACTATAAGAGCCCTCAGAACATTTCATGTTAAATCATTTTTAATCGACTTGTTCAAAAATGTTATTACACATCTCTGCAGCAGGTGGGATTAGGACATAGGTCTCCTGTCTCATGGGTAGGGACACTACCACTGCACCACAGAGCTCTGAACTTTTTTAAAATCAAATAAGCATTGCACACTGACTGATATCACAATCTGCCAAAATTGCTGATTTCCAGCAGACCCAAATGTCCATGTTACAACCACACATTTCATGACCATCAAATCCTGGCATGTGATTGAAATCTGGAGCTTCTGGTTCAGAGGCAGTGACACTACCACTGTTCCACATAAGCCATAAAGCTTTTTTTTTCATATATTGTCCATTTACATTTTTTTAATTCCCACTCCTAAACCCAGACACCTGCATTTGATGAGTGACTCAATGCTGCAACTGCTGCCTCCAGTTGTAGATATGCATTTTTTTCAATGCTGGAAAGTCCATATGGTGCTTTTGAAAATTATTGACTCTTTTCCTCAGTGACAGCTACAGTGTGACCAAAAAGGTAATTGTTGACATTCAGTGTGACAATGCTTTGTTTTCAGGTCTTGATGTCAAGAAGTTTGTCACTTCTTCTTGCTTGCTCATTATAGGTTCAGAAATATATTGGCTACTTCTCACCAATCATAAATGCACAGATCCAGTGAGGCTTATCCATCATAAGATTCTATTCCAATTAGCTTATTTTATTCACAGGTCACAAGCTGGTTTGAAGATTTAGAGACAAAGTGAGTTTAGTCCCCTAACACACTCAATTCCCTAACAATTGACTTCATCCTCTCCCTGAGATGAGCCTGTCTGCTCACAAGCAAGTCATATTTGACCCCAAAATAATCTTATATATCTGCATTATTAAACCTGCTAATTTTCACCACCAAAACATCATCCAACTCCTCTTCTCTTCTGCTGCTCAAACCCTCATCCATATCTTGAGTATTATACTAAAGATATTTTATAAATAAAAGGTGTTGTGCTTTGTTTTACTAGTTCTTGAAATTAAAATAAATTTGCTTGAAATTGTATATTATCTCTCACTGAAGTTGCCTGTTCATTTGATTGTAAATGATATATCTCAAAAATTCACCAAAAAAGAACTTTACACAACGAGACCAAGAAAGAACAGAATAGTTTTTAGCAAAGGTGCAGATCCAGATTGGGGTCTGATTCCAGAATTTTGAAGGATCCTTTAACATTTGGAAGGAAATTGGGTGGTTTGACTTCTTTCCTTGATTATTTAAAATCTTGTGTTTGTTTTATAATGTTGTGGAATGTATCAGCTGTTGTGGGAGAATTTTTCACGGCTATCTAAATGGGAGCAGAACTTTCAGAGCAAGTTGTTGGGTATGGATTTGTCTGAACCTGCTTCAGTGAGTTGTTAATACAAGTATTATTTTTTTCAGCTTTAGAATAAAAAGCATCGACCAAGTAAATTTAATTGCAACAATGTAAAGTTAAATTAGGGTAGTGGATGTATGCACTCCATTTAGTGTCCTTTTCAGTTGTTATGTGAATGCATTTGTCTGTGGAATCAAACTGATAGACCACTGTAAGAAAACCAGTGTCTTAATATACATTACTAATACTTAGGTTGCAAAGCTGTTAGTGTTATTGCTTCACCACAGTACTTCTTAATAATTAATTGTAAAAGCTAAGAAAGTATTTGTTGAACCTGGCATATTACAAACTACTGGAGCAGAACTTTGTAATTCTGTATTTCATGGCAGAATTCAATTTTTCATAAGATCAAGGATAACAGTACAAAAGTTAGAGCTAGCTGTAAACAGACTTAAGATGATTGTAATTTGGATTTTGTAGGAAGAATTCTCTGAACCACTCTTGCACAGGATCCTAGAAGCTAGTTTCAGAACAGGATTTCCTGAATTCTGTCAGCGGGTTATGTGAACTCAGGGCTGATATTAGAGATAGATGTGTTGATTGGCAGCTTTCATGGTTAATTGCGTGGTGATTGTGCATGTGTTTTTCTTTATTCTTTCATGGGAAGTTAGCATCTCTGGGATTTCCCTAATGTCCCTTGAATTAGGCCATATTCTAGATTATTGCTGATGGCAGTGAAGAGTCAGTCACATTGCTGTGGATCTGGAGTTGCATGTAAATCAGACAGGATAAGGATGGTGGATTTCCTTTCCTAAATGATATTAGTGAACCAATGATAGATTCACAGTCACCATTCCTAAGATTTGCTTTCAATTCCAGATTTTATTAATTGAATTTAAATTCCACTTGCTGCTCTTGGTAGGATTTGAACTAATTTGCCCAGAACTGTAACCTGGATTAACTAGTCTAGTGACATAACCATATTGTTAGCCACTTATCTACATCGGCCCTATTCGTAATATTAATATTTATTATCAAAGTGGAGTGTGATCCACAATGAGCTTCGTGAGTCTTGTATAAACAATTAAGTAGCCTATGAGAATGCTTGGATTATAAATTAAACTTTTCATTGTTCATGATTCTTGAATGGCCCAATATTCAACTGCTTGTAATTACAGATAGGCAAGACCCATTGAGAAAAACGGAAGTGGTTGTCCAGTTTCCATGTAGTGACAGATTCAAACCATCCTATGTACACAGGTTTGTATTGCCTTTTCTTGCCAGAGGAGCAATCTTATTGACCACTCCTGATGCTTTTGGAAAATAAAAGTGCTAGCATAATATTTGTTATAAAGTTTTAGTGAATTGAATAAAATCATATCCCAACTTGAATTTTGAGAGTATATTTTTATCAACAGATTTTTGCAGTGATTTTATTAGATAGAAATAGTTCAGAAAGATTTGAAACTTGAGGCAGAATTTTCCCAGCCCCTGAATGAGGTGGGAAATGATTAGTTGGGAAAATATGGAGAGAAATGAAAAATGAGATTCACAACATCAGGTGGGGGGTGAGGTGGGGGAGGAAGGGGCTGTGGGTGATTTTCCACCCCAGGTTTTAGTGGTGAGCTGAGAATGCAACAATAAAGTGACTTTCAATGTCCTTTTATGTTAAAGATATCATGTAAATACAAGTTGTTTTTGAATTTGTTGTTAGTTGTGACTTGAAATCATCTTTATCCAAACAGTTTTGGTTTGTGTGAAAACTACATTGTATTTGTGGAGCAACCAGTCAAAATTAACCTCTGGAAATTTCTCTCATCATGGAGCGTGCGAAGTACTACCTATATGGATTGCTTTGAATCAAATGATTCGATGGGAGTAAGTGACAGTTTATCATGCAAAAAAAACATACGTTTGACTTCGTAGGACTTTGATTTATGATTGATACTTTTCTAGGTGAAATCAGTTAACAGAATTTAACATAAAGTATTGAAATGTACATTTAACATTAATTGTCATATATACAAGAATAATCTATATTATACTATGGCACTATTTCAAATATTAGGTACAATCAAAGTGTGGAAGTTCTGGTAATGCATCTGACATCAGTCTGTATCTGAAAGAAACAAACTAAGTTCCAAAGACAACATACTGGAAATCTGAAATTATAAAAGCAAAAAAAGTTCTGGAAATACACAGATCTGTGAACATCTGTGCAGACAGAAACAAAGTTAATGTTTCAAATTGTGACCTTTCATCAGAACTGTTATGAACTGGCTGCAATTCTTTAAGGAATGTAATTTCTCCTAATCTTGCCCTTTCTCTATTAGTTTTATTTTTAAGTTAATCCTATTCTCCACATCATTATGCCCACACAATGTTTATGACCTTCTGACAACATTGTCCTGACAGTACAGTTATTTTTTTAAACAGAACCTAGAAGAATTACAGTTTGTCATTAAAGTTTGTTTTACAGACATGGTTCCATGTTGCAAACAAGAAGACTGGTGAATACCACAACATAAAATACAGAACTTCAGCATTTAATATTTTCCATCATATTAACACTTATGAAGATAGTGGCTTTATAATTGTTGATGTATGCTCCTGGAAAGGGTAGGTATCTAAATTAATTATCTGAAGTTACAGAAAAAATATCCATATTTACCTTAAATTATGTTAAACTCCACCTTTCCAAATTTTTTTTATCAAAACTGTCAGTGTTGATTCTCGCGGGAGAGCATGGTCATTGGATAGGCTTCAATTTCTCACTCCTGGCCATGTTTTATGTGTGAACCCAGAAAACGAATGTTTGTTTGCAAGCTATCCAACTGTACCATTAATCACAATGATGCAGAACAGAATTAGGACAATTACCAAATCCTGTCTGTTGTAGTCTTATCCAGCAAATACATTGCCATAGTCTTTCCCCATAATCATGTAGCTTTTCCTATCAAAAGATTTCCGTGTCTCTTCTCTCTCTGCTGTTGAGTCTGTGGTTAGCACCCTTTCAGGTAGTGCAAAACAGATCACAAATAAAGAAATATTTTGTCTTGGTGTCTCCGGTCCTTTTGTCAATTACCTTAAATCTGTTCCATCTGGACACCTTAACTTTCCTGCTAACAGTTTTTCTTTATTTACTTTATTAAGCAAAACCAGGTTATGATTTTGAAATCTGGTAAAGAAAAACTGGTATTAAATTTCCTGACATCACAGCACAGGAATGGTCTTTATTCCCCTCTTGCCTTTTCCATCAACACACCCCAAACAGTAAATCTTCACTTCTTTGCAATGATCTAGACCATGGTTTCTCCAATGGTTCAGCCATTTCAACTTCAACTTTTTTTTTTCAGCCTGAACTGTGAATTTAGTGAAGAGGCTCTTAATAACATATTCCTCAGGTTTGATGTCCAGGTCAATGGCAAAGTTTTGCCTTCTCTACCAGTCCCTCACCTGACCCCAAATACAACCTCCATGTTAAAGAGTCAACTTTTCACTCACTGTCTTTCCAGCACTAAAAACATTTGAATTTTGTACTGTGGAGAAATAAATTAATTCTCACCATACATACCATTGATTTTAATTACTACACCTTTTACCACCCCATTTTCTTGCATTAGCATGCCTGTTAGTAATCTTAAATGTCTAAACGATTTGCAAGTGTACAGTACACAACTCATTATTATTAGATAAGTTTTAAACTGACATTATCTTAGCAACATTTTTTTACCTATCTCTATGAGCACTGCTGTAAAGAATAATATATCATTTCTGATGCAGGTTTGAGTTTATATATAATTACCTGTGGCTTGCCAATTTACGTGAAAACTGGGAAGAACTTAAAGTGAATGCAAGGAAGGCTCCTCACCCAGAAGTTAGAAGATACGTTCTACCATTGGATATAAACAAAGTGAGTTTTAGTTCTTGTGGACTATTAAGGCGGGGGGGGAAGCATTTATCTTCTGAGTCTGAATCTATTACAAATGAATGTCTCATTTGACTGTAACATCCATAATTAAAATGAATTTGGATAGGCTTTTAATGTCATATTGGTCAATGGTCCAAGGCATTAATTCACTAAAAGAGCAAGAATTGGGCTAACTTGAGAAAATGACCTGCCAAAAAGTTTAAATAAAAGAGAAAAATTGAGAAGATGTACATCAGACCTTTTAACAGTTATACAGAAACGAAGATTAAGATGCTGGAAAAAACATTCAAAACTAAAGTTTTGTCCATCCTATATTTTTAAGTTGCTGAGACTTGGTGTATATTTCCAGCATTTTCTGCTTTCCTTAAAGCTATGAATGGAAGTAAACAATCTAACACTTAATATAAGAAGTTTAGACTGACTCCCATTAATATTCCTCTTTAAAAAAAAACAAGTTGAAAAACTTTTGGTCAAATTATAATACTTCAGCAGGATAATTATTCTTGAATTATAATATATGTAAATGAAAGTTTATAGGTCACTCATTAGCTGGTATTGACCTTTGTAAAGCAGAAAAGTTCAAAATCTAATTTCAGTTTAAATGATTTTGGCCAGAGTGACAATTTAAGAGCTAATAGTCAAATTAAATACCAAAAAGGGGGAAATCAAACAAGGTTTCTTCCTTATTGACATTTGGAAAGTGAGCAATTGAAGGATATTAATTTTGAGACAAGCCAGGTGGACTGCAGAGCTTTATCCGATATTGTATTTTCTTACATTAATACCTGTCAATGGGTGGAGTTGCATGGAGCCGTGTTTGGGGTCTTGTGTATACATGTGTGGGAAAGGCACATTGTTTATGAGGCCTTGGAATATTTCAGTTTAAGGCCCTCCTACATCTCAAGCACAGACTAACACCATGATAGGAATATGTGCTCAGAATTGAAACTGCAAGGTAATGTGCTGGAAGCCTGAAACCTGAAGATGGAATGGCTGTTAGGCAAACATAGTATTTAACCTTTTCAGAGTTCCCTTGCATTGCTGCTTGCCTTCCTCAGATCAAAGATCTCAGGGTACGTGTGAAGAGGGGAAAGGAGAGTGCAGGAACTATTCCATCCAATGGTTGAAATATTTTGCACTCAGACAGTATATGTGGCCAATTCCTTACTAAGGAATACCGACTTCAGAATATTTGGGTATTGGCTGAGGAAAGAATGAGCTACCATTGTGAAAACCTCAATATGTTGAATAGGTTACTGACACTCACCAGCGAGGCTAAATGTGAAGCAGTTACTTTCTGTGAAATAAACTTTACAATCAATTACTCCCTAAAGGGATTAAAAAAAAAGGTTAAGGTGAGAGGTCAGAGATTCATAGAAGCTGTAGTTAAATACAGTATAGAAAAATTGTTTTGACATATAGTATATGCATTACATATATACTATATGTAGGCACTGTTCTACCTTACATGCAACTGAGCAATGTAGTGTATGAATTTCAGTGATGGTCTGATGCCAATGATTGCCTCATTTAATCAAACAGAATGTTTCTAGAGTAGAAATACATAGATAAGAGTACAAACCATAGCCACTACATTAACAATACCAAAAGTGTCTACTGTTATATGTGATTCCCCATTTGGGCAGTACTTTCTGAACAATCCTTTGTTCCTTAACAGCTACATTAATAAATTAAAGGTAATCAGTCAAATTTGTAAAGTGACTCATTTTCACCTGCTAGAAATTACAAATATTCAAGCTCAAGAACCTGTTCGCTACAAACAAAAGCAACAGATTAAACCTTGTGCTTTTTTTAAAATTAACCAGGTGCTTGAGGAATCTCTGGTTTCCCACTATTATCTCTGAGGCAATGTCTTAGACAATCAGAAGTGACTTGTCAACCAACTCATACCTTTTCTCCTACTGTATAACTTGCTGTGATTGTTTGAAATTTGGCATTTTTGTGTTTGGCCTGATTAGTACAAGATGAGCTTTGGCAATGTTACCATATTTTCACCAAAATTCAAGTGCTTTTACCTTCATAATGTTAGTGCCTTTTTGTTTCCCTGATGATGTGTATGTTTAGTTATAGAATAGCCTTTGTGATCTGAAAAAAAATGTGATCCTAATTCGCATGACATAGTTTCAAGGCAGTAGTCTATAGTCATGTATTAAATGATTTAGTTCCCCAGTTATATACCATTATGGTTACATTACACTGTTTACTTCATTCTGACAGAAACATAGTCACTGCCTGTCCTTGAGGAAGTGGAGTCACCCACCTCACTCCTGGCCCTAACACTGGATCAACTGGCTCCGATACAAAGGGCCCCTCAGATTTATTTTATTTTAAATTAGTACATCTTTAGATTACAAACTATTCACTAGGTTTGGATTCCACTAGTGAGGTCCTTGTACATCTTTGCAAAGGCCAACACGCCACCACTCATTCAGTCAGTGTAATCAGTGCTTTTTCTACAAGAGTGTTACCTGTAGTTCCACCAAAATTGCTCTTGGAACTTTAGATCCATAAACATCATCAAGAAACCTTAATGCAGAATTCCTGCCCTCACAATTAACACCATATCAGATGGTGCATTTCTTACAATACCTTGTTTATTGTGTCTTATTCAGGTTGAACATGGCAAAAATTTAGTGTCTCTTGACACCACAACTGCCACTGCGACAGTTCGGCAAGATGGAACAATTTGGCTGGAACCAGAAGTGCTCTTTTCAGGGCCTCGGCAAGGTGATGTGCAGTTTTAATAAAAAAAAATTCTGCAAGTAAATTCTTACAAGTCACTTTGAGACACTACTTAAAATTTGCATTAAAATATTTTCTACATTACAGCATTTGAATTTCCTCAAATTAACTATCAGAACTTTAGTGGAAAGGACTACACATATACTTATGGACTGGGATTGAACCATTTTATTCCAGACAAGGTAAAAACTAGTGGGTGTGGCAGGAATTTGATCCACTGGACTAAAATGAATTTGCTTCCACTGATACCTATCTTTCTGTCATGCAGATATACAAGTTGAACATGAAAACTAAAGAGCACTGGTTATGGCAGGAACCTGATACATATCCATCAGAACCAATCTTTGTTCCACGTCCAGATGCAATGGATGAAGATGATGGTATAAAATAAATATTAGATCAGGCAACAGCATGTGAAATGGTGTTTGCTTTTGCAGTTCATCATGAACATTTTAAATGATAGTGCAAGGTTCTAAGATAACAAGGTGTAGAGCTGGATGAACACAGCAGGCCAAGCAGCATCAGAGGAGCGGGAAGGCTGACGTTTCGGGCCTAGACCCTATTCTGCTTTCCACATATCAAACAAGCAGGGATATCAGGTTGAATGTGTCATTGTGACCCGGTATACTTCCTTTTTGGCTTCAAATAATCCTGTGCATCAATAGCTGAGCAGGCAGAACAATTCTAGTTGGGCAAAAAGTGGAAATCTTAAGGGGACTGGTGGACTGTTCAGTTCTAATTAGTTAATTCCTCTAACACACACTGTCAATCTGAACCTAAAGCCTCTGGTTTTGGATAAGTGTAATATTTTTATGGACATGTGGAATTTCAGTAATTTAGTTTAGAGCCTTTTAAGGGTGACAATAGATGTCCAATTATCAGATCCGTTGCTGAAGTATGATATGGCACACATGTATAAGAACTTTTGCAGAAGTCTTCTCATGTATAAGCCCTGGATGAATCTTTGTAGAATGTCATACTTTCCAAGTCTTTTCTTTTTTTCAAAGAGGAAATAATTAGTTGAAAGCCTTGATAGCTCATTTGGTATGTTAACTATCTACAGAGGTAACAAGGTGTAGAGCTGTTTGAACACAGCAGGCCAAGCAGCATCAGAGGAGCAGGAAAGCTGACTTTCGGGCCTAGACCTTTCTTCAGAAATCGGGGAGGGGAAGGGGATTCTGAAATAAATAGTGAGAGAGGGGGAGGCGGATAGAAGATGGATAAAGAAGAAGATAGGTGGAGAGGAGACAGACAGGTCAAAGAGGTGGGGGTGGAGCCAGTAAAGCTGAGTGTGGGCGAGGAGTTAGGGAGGGGATAGGTCAGTCCAGGGAGGACAGACAGGTCAAGGGGGCGGGATGAGGCTGGTAGGTAGGAGATGGGGGTGGGGCTTGAGGTGGGGCTTGAGGTGGGAGGAGGGGATAGGTGGGAAGAAGGACAGGTTAGGGAGGCAGGGACAAGCTGGGCTGGTTTTGGGATGCGGTTGGGGGAGGGGAGATTTTGAAGCTTGTGAAGTCCACATTGATACCATTGGGCTGCGGGGTTCCCAAGCAAAATATGAGGTGCTGTTCCTGCAACCTTCGGGTGGCATTGTTGTGGCACTGCAGGAAGCCCAGGATGGACATGTCGTCTAAGGAGTGGGAGGGGGAGTTGAAATGGTTCGCGACTGGGAGGTGCAGTTGTTTATTGTGAACCGAGCGTAGGTGTTCCACAAAGCGCTCTCCAAGCCTCCGCTTGGTTTCCCCGATGTAGAGGCGGCCACATCTGGAACAGGGATACAGTATACCACATTAGCCGATGTGCAGGTGAACATCTGCTTGATGTGGAAAGTCAACTTGGGGCCTGGGATGGGGGTGAGGTGTAGCACTTCCTGCAGTTGCAGGGAAAAGTGCCGAGTGTGGAGCAGACAAGGGAGTCACGGAAAGAGTGGTCCCTTCGGAAATCAGATAAGGGTGAGGAGGGAAAAATGTTTTTGGTGGTGGGGTCAGATTGCAGATGGCAGAAGTGTTGGAGGATGATGCGTTGGATCCAGAGGTTGGTGGGGTGGTACGTGAGGACAAGGGGGATGTTTTGGTTGTTATTGCGGGGAGGGGGTGTGAGGGATGAGTTGCGGGAAATGCGGAAGACACAGTCGAGGGCGTTCTCGACCAGAGGGGGAGAAGTTGCGGTCCTTGAAAAATGAGGACATCTGAGATGTTCGGGAGTGGAATGCTTCATCCTGGGAGCAGATGCGGCGGAGGTGAAGGAATTGGGAATAGGGGATGGCATTTTTGCAGGAAGGTGGGTGGGAGGAGGTGTATTTTAGGTAGCTGTGGGAAGCGGTAGGCTTGAAATGGATATCGGTTTCCAGGTGGTTGCCAGAGATGGAAACAGAGAGGTCCAGGAAGGAGAGAGAGGTATCAGAGATGGTCCAGGTCCAGGTATCTAAAGAGCTGTGTCTGGACAGCATGAAAGTGATTCCCTGTATGGGGGCTTAGATTTCATATATGAATGCAGGCAAGTAAGTGAATTGTGAAAGTATTGTGTTAAATACTAAGCTGAGTCAATGAAAAATTGTTTGAATTAAGAGGAAAAATATTATTGTAAAATATTATTTACTTTTTGTTAACAGGCGTGTTACTGACTTCAGTTGTAAGCCCAGGTTCAGGACAAAAACCTGCTTTCCTTTTGATTCTTGATGCCAAGGATCTCCATGAAATAGCTCGGGCAGAAGTGGAGACCAACATCCCGGTTACCTTCCACGGAATGTACAAACCATAATGATCTGGTATCCAGCATAACTGATAGTATAATCATGCAAAAATACTGCAATATAAAACAAAGTAATATATGCAGAACAAGAAGTTAACACCATATTCCTTACTTTATCTGTTATGTTAGTACATGTAAAAGTACATATTGGCTTAATTCTTAATGTGAAATTGTTTTGAAATACATAATATATCAAAATTAGGAAGCGGTTATTGGCATTAACTACCAAAAGCTGAATATTTATTGGTTATTAAATTCAAAGTTGCTTTATTTTTATGTTGTAATTAATAAAACACTTTCACACGTTTCTTTGCCCTCAAGATCTAAACTGTAGTTGTGACTATCAAGCTGAGATAAAGATAATAAAATGCTGTATTTCTAACAGTATGACACAATACAATAGTTTAGAGTCATGTAAACATGGAACATGTCCCTTTCACTCATCTATATCATTAAGTACTAGGAACTTGTAGACATTTTAGTTTTAAAAATCTGTTTCTTACACCTTCTCAATGACTAGTTTTCTGTTCACAAAAACCTTACCATGAATCCCTTATCAGCACTTTCTTTCCTATAATTTCCATTATCATTGGGAAATCTCTGTATCCTTGATCCCTTCTCCACTGCTTTCTGAAATGCTCAGTTACCTATCCTTGTCATTGTTCAATTGATATGTGAAACAATTCTCCTCATGTTCACTTCCCTTTCCAAACTCACATTCCCAGTCCTCAAAAAAATGCACCTTTTAAACTCCACATTCTTTGCAAGTACTGTTTATATCCCTTGAACTTAGCTTCAACAATTTCCAATCTGAATTCCAAACTTTCTGCTACATCCCTTTCTGGTCAAAATCAAATTCCCATGACTGCAGCCGTGATGCACTATTCTTTTGTGCTGTGGTTCACTGCTCTGGAGCGTTTAACAAAGTTGATTATATCCTCACGTGAAGACAGGAATTGTTGGAAAAACTCAGCAGGTCTGTCAGTGTCTGTGGGGAGCAAGCAGTGTTAACATTGAGTCTAGTGACTCTTCTTCAGTTTTTGATTTTGTTTCACATCTCCAGCATCTGCAGTTCTTTGTTTTATTGATTTTAGCCTCCTTTACATTGGGTCCTTTCTATTTTACCTCTGCATTTTCAAACCTGTCCGATAGTAAGAAGTAAAAAAATTACATTTTTGCAATTTGGGCATCAGGAAGTGTGAAGTTTAAAAATAAAAATTCCACTGCCAGTTCCGTCTTCCTCCTGGGAGTTCATTCAAACTTGGTGTGCGGTTCATCTTAATGGATTCACCCTGTACCTTGTGCATCATCATTTATTTCGCAAACGCATGCCTGCTACACACCAAGCTCCATTTTCCGTAAAATATCGTGTCACTTAAAATGTGTGGGGAAAAGTTGCAGCTTTGAGTTTAAGATCCTCCTCCTCTCCTTACAAGTTTGTCCCGGTCATCATTGAACCGTAATTGATAACTTGCTCCATTATTTAATGTCTCAAGTCCTTCATTATCCATCTCAGGCTGCCTTTGCATCACATCATTTCCAAGCCCCCCACCTTATGACCCAACATTAACAACAGAGCTTTCAGTTGCGTTGCCTCTGATCTGTGGAAGTTTTTCCTCTTAATCCTTCACTTCCTGTCTTCTGAAGTTTACTTTCTCAAAATCCACATATTCAATTGTACTATCATGCAGTGTTCACTTCTTTCATAATTGAAGGACGTTGGGAAATTATTCTACACCAAAGTATAAAATGAATATAAGGCAATGGTTGAAACATTTTTTTTCTGTGCAGTTAAGAGGATAAACTCAAACAGTGAATTCACTAAGATATATGTCAGGAGGATAAATGCATGAAAGAAATACAATGAGCATGTGATTTTGGAAACTCAAATGTGCCAGGACAACATTTCTACTAAATACAGCTTTGATTAAGAACTCAAAGACTTTTGACTACAAAAGAGATTTAATTATTGCACATGAAATTTTAGGCACTTCTCATACTGACGGTATATTGCTGTTTTCTACTGACCTACATTTATTTTTGTGTGTGTGTGCGCGCGCGCGTGTGCACACAATTTGATAAACAGTGTTTTATTGTACTTTGGTGGACAATTATTCCTCACATAAGGTCCAGTGATCTTAAGAGGTCTTCTAGCCTCTTAACATCATAATTATTTCAGTAATACATCACTCTTAATTTTAAGTGAAAATGATCTGCAAGTAAAGTTCACAATACAGGATTAATTCCAAATCTTGTCTCTAAGAATGAATATCTTTATAGTTAATGATACCAGTAATAAACAGAGTATTTGGTAAGAATGTAAACAACATTAACATCTTTTATTCATTCAATTGTGCTCTTCATATGAAAATAAATAAAGCTAGTACCAGCCAGGCCAGTAGAGGGAATTCACCTAAGAGATCCTCTTTTTTGGGTGGGGGGTGGAGAATGAAATGGAGTTCCTACTTCTGATTCCTAAATCATGAATGACAACCTGGAGACATGGATTTCAATTGAGCACATCATTCAATGGAGGTGTAATACAGTCCCAGTTTGGTAGATATTTCCTAATCAAGTTCTATGCAAGAATAGGCTCCTGGCAGTAGCTGTGTAATTGTTGCCCCCAGATTGCCCCTTCCCTAAAGGTATGGCTAAGAGAGGGCAAAAGAGATATGATGTAACAATTGTACTTCATTATGCTCTAATTTACTGAGTAGCCAGTATATGATGGAAGTAGAATTGTAAATTAAACTACACTATCCAGAAATAAAAAAATCTGTATTCTAGACTTGTCAAACAAGTGTCCCATATGTTGAGGGATTGTTTGTTACCCACCAAACATTGTCTGAAATGTAGGGAAGAGTAACTGAAGATATTGCAAAGAGCTTCTCCTTCAATAAAAAGCTGTTCACTTATGAAGCTATGAGTTATATGATAACTGAAGAAATAAATACTCCAGGATGACTTTTCACTCTTTGTATTGGAAAATGTAGATTTAGTTCAAATCTGTTCTTGAATACTGAGAAAGCACCTTACTGCCCTAGTGACATCAATTCCTTTCATTTTAGAAGTTTGCAGCATCATTATAAATCATCAAATTAATAAACAAATGAGAAATGTTTGGCAAAACCTTGAAGACATTCAGACTGACAACTTATGGACTGGGGTTACTTCACTGACCTTTCATTGCTGGCTCTTGGGTTTAAACTCATAACAGGCTGGTGACTGAAGGTCACTTGAGACCACACTGTGCAGCAGAAGCTGTTCTTTTGAGATTAGAATTAGAACACATAGCTGCAAAACATGTGCATTAGCAGAAAGCAGTTGTGTTCTGCCTAACATTATGGTGTTTGTATGAATCACTGCCATTGTCAAATACAAAAAAATTACTCCAATCCTAACAGTGAAACCTTGAATGGTTTGGGATGCTAAGTATTTTGGTTGTTGCTGTAGGCCACGAATACTGTAGGATCAAGATGATATTTAATTTAATTAGCCACTTAAGGACATATTGACTGGTTTGGGTCTTTGAGCATGCTCTGCCATACTTAATCACTATTAATTTCTTAGCCTGTGCTTCTTCTCTTTACAACAGCTGCTCAGCTTCATTGATTGAGTTGATGAATTATGCCACTCTCCGAGTTTACATTCTTAGGACAGCATGTTTTTCGGGTTGTGAATGCGGTCGAGGTTTCTGTTTGATGATATTTAGACAGTGACCTATTACCTGTAATATACAGACATTTCATAGTTAGATTCAATGCTCACCTACACATTTTGAAGCCCCGCATTTGGTTATTCAATTAACAAACTATACTTTTCAAACTAGTGTCCCGCAATTGAAGTCTAAGCTTTGCAATAAGATTTTATTCAATATATTACATCTTGGAAATGTGTACAGTTTTTTTTTAGATAGTTATAATGAAAAATCTGGAAATGCACAACATGAGCAATGCCAGCTACCTGTTTTTCAATCTATAGGCATTCAGAAAGTAAATCCTAAACTCCATATAGAACTAGCCACTGGTTAGCTCAGTGATGATCAAGAATCTTTGAAACAATTTATGATGGAGATAATAAATTTGGAGTTATTTCTGCTCTCTATGATAATACTGGAATAATAAACAATTTGACCATGGAGAAAGAGAAGGTATACAGTTGCCAGATCAGTCGATGATCAACTGTCTTTAAACTCACAACTTTCAAAATTGATACTAACAGGGCAGCTATTATACCAGTGAAGGCAGAAGAACAATTAAAGAGGATCTTATGTGTATTTGGAATTCAAAGATGAAAGAAATATGGTTGTGCAAAGATAATAAAAATTAATTGTAATGAGAGGAAAGAAAAGTCAAAATCTACGAACACTTTTTGAGTATGTATTTGTTCCCTGTTTGAACATTTTAATTTACTTTGCATTTGTGGAACATGAATGAAGTAGGACCCTAAATCAATGCTTAATAGTGTGGCACATTCTGGGCAGTACTAATTCAGACAACGAGTAAGAATCCAGTTAATGTTTGCTTCAAGTGCAGATTGCTGATCTAAACCAGTGGGTTCAAAACTTTTTTGATCAAACGAACCCTTTCCAAATGAGCCAGTAACACATGAAACTGAATTATAATACTATATAACACTTCATAATACAAAAATGTTGCAAAAGAAGTTTTAATAATGCTTTTTTAAAGTAACATACAGATATCTGCGAGATCGGTGGGTGTCTGCTTCTCACTAGAGTTTGTGTCTATCTTCAGCACAAGTAGAGACAGCAGAGAATGGAGAAAGCATTAGGGGAACACAAATGGAGCAGATCACAGTGAAAGCACAGCATAGAACATTCATATGGACAAACTGAGCCGGAGAGTGATGGGATACAAGAGATGACAGAGTACATGGACAGCAAAGCATTGAGCAAAGGAAGCGGAGGAGGAGACTGGGAGACAGGAACTCCCAAAGGGCGGGAGCACGGACAACTTAACATAAAGGAAAGAACAGTGCTTAGTCAGAGTTGGAGCCCAAAGTGGACGAAAGGAAACCGCTGATCTCTGCTCAGTCACTTTCTCTTGACCAAGGCACTTTAGGTAGTTACCCACATCACATAGCCTTAAAGTCAGCCTTGCATGTTGGACAACCTGGAAAGCCTGAAACCCAGTTTGAGAGGTGTTGACCAAAATGGAGATATAGCAATACTGGTACAATTGGTCTCACTGCTACTGAATGAGGGAGGGGAAAAAAAAAAAAAAAAAATCAATTATGGCCCCACTTCTGAGGGGACTGCCAGTAATTACATGAAGATCAGACTTAGCTTTCATACTTCTTAATTGAATAAGTAGGGAGTCATTTAGCTGGTTTGTGATGCAGAGTAATGCCAATAACGTGGGTCAAATTCCCACAGTGGCAGAGATCACCATGAAAATCCTGCCTTCCTGACGTTGCCACACACAAATCACTCCATGTAAAAAAAAGAGAGAGGAGAAAGTTTTTTTTAAAAATCTTTCACCTTAAAAATGTCCCCTAGTCTTGAAATCCCCCACCCTAGGGAAAGGTCACCTGCCATCCACCTTATCTATACCCCTCATGATTTTAAACCTCTAAAGTCACCCCTTCACTTCCTACACTCCAGTGAAAGAAGTCCCAGCCTATCTAGTCTCTCCTTATAACTCAAATCCTCCATTCCTGGCAACATCCTGGTAAACCTCTTCTGAATCCTCTCCAGCTTAATAATCTCCTTCCTATAACAGGACAACCAGAACTGGACACAGTCCTCCAGAAGAGGCCTCACCAACATCCTGTACAACTTCAATATGGCATTCCAATTCTTTTACTCAAAGGTCTGAGCAATGAAGGCAAGTGTGCTAAACGTCTTCTTGACCATCTCTGTCTACATGTGACGCAAATTTCAAAGAATTATGTACTTGAACCCCTAGGTTCCTCTGTTCTATAAAACTACTAAATGAATAACTTGGAAGCTGCTAGTTCCCATGGAATCAAACCCAATCTTTCAGTCAATGCCTTCAGAATACAGAAAGAGAGGGAGAAACAAAGTCAGTTCATGTTCTAAAATGTTTCATTGCATTCTTTTTGGAAAGAAATCAAAGTAAGAAATTTACCCAGTACACCAAGGCATATTTGTACATCTGTGATACGTGTCAAGTTTTCTTCATTTCAATATTGAGTTTAGAAAAATTGTTTCTAAATAAAAGCATCTCAGCAGACACTATCTTAATAAAGTCTTGTAGAACAGATTTTGAGATATCCTGTTAATAATTTATTGTTTTGACTCCGGAAATTGCTACATGCAAGGATTATACACTCCCAGTTTTCTTTTACTTTTACAAATTGAAAGAGGTCATAAGTCATAAATGAATAAGATATGCAGACAATTCTTGCATTCTGGGATGAGGGGGAGCTATTATGAACTAAAAACATAACTGGCCAAATGCAGCACAAATTATAGTTAATTGAAATGTGAGTTTACCATCCGAGTGTCTTTAGGCAGTATTATACCATCATCCCAAACTCTGGAAGAAGAGTGAAAAGCAGAACTCTCATTCTCCAGCCTAAAGAGAAAAATGGCTTTAGTGTGAAACTGCACAAGCACTTAAATCCATCTTTCTACATTACATTGAACTCAATAAAAAGTGCATAGCTTTATCACATCTATTGATTTCTAAAATATATAAATACAGCAAAAGATTATACCTTGCTTCTTTTTATCAATTTATGTTTTTTTTAAATCAGATGTTCTGTGTAGTTCAGACTTAAAGATTACTTGCATAAAATTAAGACTTGTTGATCAAATTAAAAATTGTAAGACCAGATTGCTTACATGTTATTGTGGAATCTGTGATATTGTTTTTGATGACAAAAGGTGCTGAAAAATTTAATTCATCAATAAATGTTCAGGTTCTACCAACATTGTGTAAACTCTGAGTCATTTTCTTAATTTGATACATTAATAAAGAGTTTATCAACAGCTAAACTGGTCAATTAACTCCTGATTTTAGCTTTAGGTTAAAAGTTTAGGTTCCCTTGATGACTTAGGAAGTTATCCAGCGAACAGCTGTAATAGTGATTTATGCCCAACTTGTATGGTGCTAACTAATTGCCAAAGGAGGCTTTAAGAGCACAGTAATTAAAAAAAAACTAGGAGGTCATTCAGCCCATCAACTAACTACTATCCCTTTTAAGCACATTTCCATTTCCTTCATCATATTCCTGCAATAATGTCTCCCTCATTAACGTGTTGAATTTGCTTTCAAAAGCAGCACATTCCAAACCCCAAATTCTCATTGCATAAGAAGTTCTTCATGTTGCCTCTGCTTTCTTTATCAATCACCTTAAAATCTGTGCTGCTTGGTTATTGTCAACGATTGGAAACATCCTCTAATTACTTTATCCCTATTAGTCATGATTTTAAACAATTCCATAAAACATCCTCTTTGTATTCTTTGGTGAAAAGAGAACAACCTCATTCCTTTGACCTAAATGTATCAACTTACAATTTTCTGCAGTGAATATTACCTGCTAGATACGCACTCATTGCACCAACCTGCCCATGTCATCTTGAACTCTGTTACAATCTTCTTCACAGTTTATTTCATGTACTTATTGCGTCATGTAATCCCAAGGCCAATGTATAATGTATATCAAAAATAGCAATGGTCCCAGTACTGATAATATATACCATATAATAGGACATAATATAGAACATAGAACATTACAGCGCAGTACAGGCCCTTCGGCCCTCGATGTTGCGCCGACCTGTGAAACCAATCTGTCTAATCCCAATTACCACAGGTCAGATGTGCTGGATGGGCATATATGGATAATGACTGAAAACAGGATTAAAATTAACTATAAGAGTGCTGAAATTACTAGCCAACAGTTATTATCTAAACTGAAACAATAGGAATAAGAACAGGAATAGCTGTTTGGCCCAAGCCTGTTCCGCCATTTAATAGGATTATGGCTGATCTGACAATACTAACGTTTCTTTCATGATCTTCAGTTGTGTCTCATCTTGGATTTCTCCATCAGATTTCTGGATCTCTGGGTTGTAACTTGGGCCAACTAGTCCAATCCTGGCATTGGGCCATAGAAAAAGGAAGTTCGGATCAAATGATCTACCGCACTGAAACGAAGTAAATTTCACTTAAACATTATCCACACGGATCCAAGTGAACATAATGTGCAATAATTAGCTGGTGGCCACCTGTATGATTTTCTGAATTATAATTTTCCATTTGTTAACTTTCAGTTACATGGTCACAAATAGAACAGAAGGATTTTCTTATCAAATGGAACCCCAAGGCAAATATAATAATATGTTAAATTTTTAGCGATTAAAAAGTGACCTGAAGATTTTACAGGCATTTATCCCAAATGAACTGTTTCAGCAGACTCCAGGGAATTGGCACAAATGACCATTTACACCATTTCTCTTGGTTTGCTACTGAGGTTACAGTGGGATATAGAAAGAATCTTTATGGAAATTTTTCTGGAAATATATTTAACAATGAGACTTGGACAAGACATCAGTAAGCCCTTTTAAATTACCCTATGTCTAAGGCTGCTGCAGGGCTGTTCATATTATAATATTAATATTGCTACTTCTATCCCACCTTCCAGAATGAATGACACCGACTAAGGTAAACACGCATTTAATTGAGTTAGGGCAACATTACTCTGATTTGCCGCATCGACTCCTTTCTCCTCACTCAATTTATTGTTGCTAACTCAATGAATTGTTCAATAGTTAAGTGATGCCCATAGAATGAGGGAGGAGCAGCACTGGTTACGGAGAAAAGGAGGAAAAAGCGTATCTAAAAATGTCATAAATGAAAATTATGATTGCACACTGTACAGGCCCAGCAACACCAGGACCACAAGCAGAAAATCAGTACAAGCAAGAATACACATCTAGCTCCATTTTGGATGTAGGTTTGTATTAGGGTCAGTAAAGCAAAGTTGAGTGGCAGTCGTATACTGCGAGTATCTTTTTTCCTCTTTGGAGCTTTACTGCAATCCTCTTGACTCTGTGTGCAAAACTGACAGTCCCACTGCTGTATCATCAGCAGGATCCTGCTAAAGCTTTTCTGGCGCACCAGATGATTTCTGATCCAGGAAACTAGGTCTGTTATAGTCAGGTAATAGCAGCAGACAGAAATCTCATCTCACCGTCACTTTTAACCCAGTTCTTGCCTTGATAAGAAATGAACGAGCAAAACAAAGAGGAATTACAGGGAAGCCCAAACATTTTGTCTGACATTTATGAGTACACTTTCCAGCAGTAGACACCTGATAGAGATCAAGATCAAGAGCTTTGGCTTGTCTTTATCCTCCTAACTCTGTGATATTGAAGCTAATTAAATTATTCCTACCATCCCCAAAGAGGAGCTAACAGAGTGTACATCAGGGACTGAATCTCTGACCATCTCAATACAGAATTCATATCATTAAACTAATTAGATTATGTTGCGCCAGTGCTTTTTCCACAAGATAAAACTCCCCAAAACATTAATTTTACACTAGAATTATTTCCAATGGTATAATAGCCATACAACAACATTTCTAGAATGTACCATAGGAAAACTTTCACCACCATAGCAGCCTCCAATTATAATGGTTATCTTGGGAACAGTGGCACACGCCACAGCTGATATCATGGTGCCCTGGGCCTTAAGTTGGTTGGTAACATCTTCAGCCTACAAAGAAAACCACAAGGAGATTTGCTGAATTATATAATGCACATGAATCAACAGAAGACTTAAAATGGGAAACAGTATTTTCAATGTTCACTATTCTTTATTGTGAATTTCCGAATGAACACCAAGAATATATATATTTTCTTTCCCATTAAAAAGACTAAATTCTTCATTTTTTTAACCACCATTAGATAACCTCTCAACTCAAAGGAAAATAAGCCTGAAAATTTGAGCAAACAGAAGCACCTTCTGTGCTGTCTTCATCAAGTAAATTCTTGAAACCTGGCCATTCATTCCTTCTATTAAATGTTAACACTGATAAACAATTAGCCCAGGTTTTAAATGGACCATGAGCTCAGATTCAGAAACTGCTGGTCTTAAAGCTGTCCAAAAGGACCTCAAAAAAAATAACAACCTTTCACAGATCTCACCCAAAAGCATTTTTAGGTATTTTCTAATCAACCTGTTCAGAGTTGTTACTACACATTTCCGGAGCAGGTGCGATTTGAACATACAACTCTTGGCCTAAAGGGAGGGACACTACCACGATACCACAGGAGCCCCAACCCGAGTGTTATTACCTGTGACGCAAAGGCAAACAAATCTACTATCCTAAACAGATTTTCAGGACACTAATCATGTAAAATGCTTGAACTTACAGGGTGATTGACTCTTTCATTTGTACCATATTTTCTGAATGCCCTGATAGGCAGATACCCATTACGCCCAATGGCAGTAATCAAACCAGGCAATCCCAATCCTTTTCATATGCTTGTGTAATGAGGTGAGAGAATTCACTATAATGTTTATTCAATGCAATTTTCAGAAACAGGTCTAAACTCTTATGAGCTAAGGAGGGGAGTAGAATCAGCCAGTATTTCCATGCCTAATTGACATATAAGAGGAGCAATTTTAATTCCAGTCACTTGCAGAAACAGAGGTAAAGCAGCTAAAATTGATCCGACAGTTTATCAACTAACGTTCCAGCCAAATCTTGCAATCTTGCGTTTTATTCTGCTCTTTAAAGCAGGTGAGAAAAGCACCTGTTGGGTCAGTTGGGGTCCTTCTTTTAACTAGAATATAAAATACTAATGTCTTTAGGCTCTGACTAATTTTAACTGATAGATAGTAAGAACTGCAGATGCTGGAGTCAGAGATAACACAGTGTGGGGCTGGAAGAATACAGCAGGGCAGGCACCATCAGAGGAGCAGAAAAGTTGACATTTCGGGTCAGGACCCTTCTTCAGAAATGGGGGAGGGGGAAGGGAGCTCAGGAATAAATAGAGGAGGGGTAGGGGAGGTAGGTGGGATGGTGATAGGTGAGTGCAGGTAGGGACTGGTGGGGACTGATCAGTGAGGGGGGGGGGGGGGGGATAGGGGGGGGAGAAGATGGACAGGTTGTGTCATGTCAAGGAGGCGGGGACAATAGGGAGGGTCAGTCATGGGAGGCAGCCGGGAGTGGAGAAATTTTGAAACTAGTAAAATCCATGTTTAGGCCATTGGGTTGTAGGCTCCCAAGGCGGAATATGAGATGCTGCTCCTCCAGTTTACAGGTAGAGTCATTGTGAGGCCCAGGATGGATGTGTCACCAAGGTAATGGGAGGGGGAGTTAAAATGGTTCGTGACTGAGGTGTTGTTGTTTGTCGCGAACAGAGCACAAATGGTCTACAAAACGGTCTCCAAGTCTCCGCTTGGTCTCTCTGATGTAGAGGAGGCCATATCAGGAGCAGCGGATGCAGTAGACCAAGTTGACGGATGTACAGGTGAACCCCTGTCCAATTTCGAAGGTTTGTTTTGTGCCTTGAATGGAGGTGAGGGGAGAGGTAAGGGGGCCGGTGTAGCACTTCCTGTGAATGCAGGGAAAGGTGCCGGGGTGGAGGGCTTAGTGGGCAGTGTGGAATGGACTCTTATCATCACCTCTCTTAACTGCCCTGTTGGGAATAAATTATCCATAGAGGATGAACAGAAATTTCCTCTAATTAAATATTAGAAAAACTGAAGCCATCCTTTCTCTTCAAACACCATTCCCTGACTACCAACACCAGATCTCTCCCTACCAACAGTCTGAGATTAAGTCAGTCCATTTGCAACTATAGTGTCAAATGATCTGAGATTAGTTTCCAATATCACATTTGTGCCATAACTGAAACCATTTATTTTCATCTTCATGGCTGAATCATCTGCTGGTGAAACTCTCATTCATGCCATTGTTACCTCCAGACTCAACTATCCTAATGTCCTCATGGCTGATTTCCACATTCAAAGCTCCACAAACCCAAGATAATTTAAAACTCTGATGCTCTTGTCTGAATTCTCAGCAAACCCCCATTCCCCCTCCCTACCTCTGCAGACATCTGTGTGTGTGTGTGTGTGTGTGTGTGTGAGAGAGTGTATAGTGTGGTGGGGTCACCTGTAGTGCGACATGAACCCAAGATCCAGGTTGAGGTCATCCCTCATGGGTACCAAACTTGGCTATCAGCCTCTGCTCGGTCACTCTGCATTGTTGTGTATCCCAAAGTCCGCCCTTGGAGGACATTTATCCAAAGATCCGAGGCTGAATCCTTGACAGCTGAAGTGTTCCCCCACTGGGAGGTGGCATCCCTGTCTGGCGATTGTTGCGCAGTGTCGTAGCATCTGCATGGTCTCGCCAATATACCATGCCTTGGGGCATCCTTGCCTGCAGTGTATAAGATAGACAACATTGGCCAAATCACATCAGTATCTGCTGTGTACATGGTGGGTAGTGTTCCCACATGTGATGGTGATATCCGTGTCAATGATCTGACATGGCTGGCAGAGTTTACCATGACAGGGTTGTATAGTGTTGTGGTCGATGTTGTCCTGAAGGCTGGGTAGTTTGCTGCAAACAATGGTCTGTTTAAGGTTTGGCAGTCGTTTGCAGGCGAGAAGTGGAGGCGTGGGGAAGATCTTGGTGAGGTGCTCATCGTCATCGATAATGAGTTGAAGGCTACAAAGAACATGGCGTAGTTTCTCCACTCCCTGGAAGTACTGAACAATGAAGGGCACTTATTGGACATATCCCATGTTTGTCTTCTGAGGAGGTCATTACGGTTTTTCGCTGTGGCACTTTGAAACTGGTGATCGATCAGTTGAGCATCATATCCTGTTCCTATGAGGGCATCATTCAACACATTCTGGTGTCCATCTCGTTCCCCCTCATCCAAACAGATCCTCTGCATTCGTAGGGCTTGTCTGTAGGGGACAGCTGTTTTAATATGATTAGGGTGGAAGCTAGAGAAGTGCAGCATCGAGAGGTTATCCGTAGGCTTGCGATAGAGTGATATACTGAGGTGTCCTGGTGTTTCTGGCTCAACTGGTCCGTGGGTGCTGAGTTTCTGTAAGAAATCTGAAGTGTCGTGACAGAAGCTGGGGTTCCCTGTACAGTGTAATTTAAGATGTCCTCGACATAGCCAGAGAGGTTCTCACACAGGGTCCCATTGCCTGATACGATGGGACATTCAGGTACGTTGGCTTTGTGTCTCTTTGGAAGGCAGTAGAAGTCCCCAATGCAGGAAGTACAAGGGATGAGAGTGTGTAGGGTACTATGAAGGACTGGATCAAAAGTCTTCACCAGTCTGTTCAGTTGACTGGTGTGCTCTTTGGCCAGATCAGCAGGTAGCTGTCTGTGGTGTTCGTGGTTGTTCAGCTGTTGGTACACTTCATTGCAGTGGTCCTTTCTATTCTGTATGCTGGTCTTATGACAATGTTGCAATTGGTCTTGAGAGCATGGGTGGTGTTGTGTTGTGCCTGGGTGACATTTTGCAATACTTTGAGAGTGTGGCTGATAAATCTGGCATTCATGCATTCTCTGATGGCTTGAGCGTAGCTGTCAAGCCCCGGGTAACAGCCTTCCAGAGGAATATTGTTACATTACTTCATAACTTTAATCTGCATGTAGATTGAGCCAACCAAATTAGTGACAATGGCATAGAGGAAGTATTTCTGGAGTGTATACGGGATGGTTTTCTGGACCAATACATTAAAGAACCAACTGGAGAACACACCATCCTAGGCTGGGTATTGTATAATGAGAAAGGAATAATTGGTAATCTATTGTGCAAGGCTCCTTGAGCCCATTGTGAAGATGAGCAACCATAATATGATAGAATTCATCATCAAGATGGACAATGATGGAATTGATTCTGAGACTAGGGTCCCGAATCCAAATACAGGAAACGGTGTTTCAAGGTGTATGACGGTTTGAGGCGAGAGATGGCAACGATAGACTGGGTGACTCTAAAGGGATGGCAGTGGAAGACAATGGCAATCATTCAAACAGTGCATGGGTGAACTGTAACAATTGTTCATTCCTGTCTCGTGTGAAAGTAAAATGGGAAACATGGCCAAACCAAGGCTCACGAGGGAAATAAGAGATAATATCATATTCAAGGAATAGGCATATAAATTGTTCACAAAATACATTACAACTGAGTCATAGAAACAGTTTAGAATTCAGCAAAGGAGGACAAAGAGATAGATTAATTAAAGGAATATAGAAAGTGGGAGTAAGCTTGCAAAAAACAGAAAAACTGATGGTAAGAGTTTCTATAGATATGGGAAGGGAAAAAGATTGGAAAAGACAAATGTAAGTACCTTGCTGTCAGACACAGCAGAATTTATACTGGGGAACAAAGAAATGGTTGACCAAATAAATACGTATTTTGGTTCTGTATTCACAGGAGGACACAAATAACATACCAGAAATGATGGGGAACACAGGGATGGAGGATCCAAAGGAAATCAATATTAGGTATGGAAATGGTTTTGAGGAAATTGATGGGAATGATAATCTACATCCCAGAGTACTTAAGGAAGTGTCATTAGTAATAGTGGATGCATTGGTGGTCATCTTCCAAGATTCTATTGGCTCTGGAACAGCTCCTACAGATTGCAGGATATTTAACTCCTCTATTTAAGAGGAGAGGCAGACAGAAAATCAGGATTAAAGACCAGACAGCCTGACATCAGTAGTGGGGAAA